AAAAACTAACTAGGAAAATCAATTAATTAATTAAGCATAATTCAAGATCACCAAACTTAATGTTCTTAACATTTTAAAACATTTATATTGTTAAAAACATCGAGTTTACTGATTTTGAATTATGCTTAATTGATTTTCCTAGTTAGTTTTTTCAATTAAAAGGGCTGAAATGCGCCTTAAAAACCATCGTTCAAAAGGCTGAACTGTGCCTTTAAGGAAAGGTGTACAGTGAGGCTTCTGGTTATATTTTCTATTCTGTGATTTAGCCGCATTTTAGTACGCACGTTTACACGTGCGTGCGTATTGCAAATTAATCATGGCGGACATACACACAAAGACTTTTTTCTTGTCCATCCTGTTGATACATTGACTTACTTCCGCAGTTTGATATTGTTATATCAAGTTTTGAGACAATATTTTAATTAAAAACGTTTTGAAACGAAATGGCTACAGAATCGATTTAAAATACAGATATAATGATATATTGATACGAGATAGAGCCTACGTTCGATTTTTTGGTTCAAAAATTCTCAGAAAACGTATGTTTTGTCCCCAAGGGTGGGGGCATTTGCGTCAATGTAAGTCCCCAAGGGTGGGGATTTTGTTGCATTATTTGGACCACATGGTGGGACATTTGCAACATTTTTTTCGTCAAAATGACAAATGCCCGCCAACAAACGCCCGGGGGGGCACCCATGGAATTGTTTGAGACATAACAGCACAAGTCGAAGCGCCTTCGCTCGAAACGTCGAAGTTCTCCATGCATGTATTTTTCATTTAGCTGTATCCCTATCAAACCGAAGCTTTCTTACATATTTCCCCCAGAATTTTTAGTTATTTTCAATTTGATTTCGTAAAAAGTATCACATTTTCGACAAGAAATTCTAAATACTTTATTTATATTTTGCAACAATTGCCGACGAGCATGCGTAGAACTCATGTTGGAAATTCAATGTGAATTAATTCAGCCGTTCCGCACGTTGTAACCAATAATTTATTGGCGTTGTAATGCCATTGTATGCAATAAAGTATTGGTTACAATGGTTCTACAATTAATCCAAATGCTAATCCTAACCCTAATCCTAACCCTAACCTTACCTCCTAACCCCACACCCTAACCCCGGCCCGCTACCCCTACGGGGGAATGTCCTTCTGCCTCCCCGCCATCTGCCAAGCCAAGCCAATTATACTTATAACTAAAACTTTTGTGCAATGGTTGTGGTTTTGTCTTCAGTTACAACCCAATACTTTATTGCATACAATGGCATTACAACGCCAATAAACTATTGGTTACAACGTGCGGAACGGGTGATTAATTCGATTTCTCCAGAGCTATGCCCACCTTCAACCTGCGAACGGGCATATCCGGGGAACAAGATTGGTTTACCTGGTGCTGTTGAATATCCAAGTAGAAAATGAGCTTCGTCGGGGTCTGCATTGCGGCGAAACATTCCATTTTCTTCTGCTGGTGTTCTGTCTCTACATGCTTGAATGAAAAACAGCTTGGGCTTCCCTTTTAAAGCAGGACAGTTGGCTTCTTTAAATAGATGTATTATATCCTCTTTAATTTTAACATATTTAGAATCAGATCCGTAAATTTTGCCATTCTCACCATGTGACATAATGAAACAGATAAAGGAGCTAAAATTTCCCTTATTAATTTCCTCATTTGCCTTGACCATGGCGTCATAAATTTGATGAGATTTCAAATTTTCGTATATTTCCACAGGGAGGTTGAGTTCTTCAAAAAACTCAGTTAAATTTGTTAAGTCGATGTCTGAACCTTCTCGTTCACTCAAAGCGTTGCCCTCTTCCGTTTCATCTTCAAACGTTTGGTTGTTAATGATAATGACATGTGGTTGTTGCATGGAGTAACACAAATCCCTGCCAGGTGATATATGGATTGGTGCTGGGATAAAAAATAGATAAAAAGAATTATCAATATGTATTGTATTTTAAATATATATTGCATAAGTGAAAACACTTTATAAAAGTAGTGGTAAGTTAACATACCAATGTCCAAGAGTCTCTTCTTAACAAGTATAAACCCGTTTGGTAATAGACAGAATAAAATAGCAAACTGGGGTCTATGATAAGTAAACAGACCTTCCAACTTTTATGCGTAAACCACATAAAAGAATGTTCTAACCCGTCTGTATTATGAAAGTTGTCTATGTATAAACTCAGACTCGCGCATTTGGCATCGATTTCACACACATACTACAACTAACATTTTCCTACAATTAGAAGAAAAATTTTATGATATTCCTTAGACATTTCGCTCAATCAGTGACTATAAGAGGTCATGTTTCTACACCATTTGTTTTTGTGTTGACCCAAAAGGACGAAGATATAAATTAAGAGTGCCAAAATTTTAATATTTTCAATCCCAATTTCTATTTTTGGGGAATGGATTTTATGATTGAATTGTCAACTGTTTGATTTTAAACTTTCAATCAAACAATTAAACTTACAAACTCTATTTTCACATCTTGAAATCTAAAAATATTGGGGTGGGGAGACGGGCAGGGCATAGACATATATTCTGGGGACTAAGATGTGCATGTTCTCAAATTCTCACTATTTTTTAATTCACGAAGCTCCCCATTAAATCCATTCTAATTCGTTGTTTTAGTCAACTTGTAAAGCAAAGCATTTTGGTGATATATGTGCAGTAAATTCACACCTTTGTTGTCAGAAAATTCTTTTATCTTTTCTACCAAATCCTTTCTATCATCATCTAACATATTCTTCAAATCAGTAAAGTTGTTTTCCGAGAGCTTTCCAGTTCTCTCTAGGTAGATTAGAAACTTTTCACCATTTGTCAGTTTCTCAGCAATGCCATCTAATTAAATAAACATGTATCGTAAGTTGGTTATATTTTGTGTTCTGCAGAGTCAGCAAATGGCAGATGCTTGCCCTATTAATTTAGTCCCCTGGGATTTATTTTTTTCTAGTAGTGGGGGCTTATTACAAGGGGAGGGTGCTAAATGGAGGTTTGGGGCTAAATAATTTTTTACCTTCTTTTAAAAAATAATTTACAGAATCATCATTAGAGAAATTAACATTTGGATCTTTAGACATATCAGTGAATATTACATGCACAAATCATTTTGTATAGAACACTTCATACTTTGCTATAAGATAGAGGACAGGGAAAAATAAAATAAAAGATAAATACAAAAATAAAGCACAAATTTGAAAATTACCAACTAATATTAGTCTTACTAAATTAAGTCTAAATCTAAGTTTTTCTAAATTACTGGAAAGCTGATATGTGCAAGAGACTAATGAAATTTATTGAGAAGAATAAAATTTTAAAAAGAAATCAAAAAGGTTTTATAAAGCAACTGCAACAGCAATTGTCAGGCTTGTTGACAAAACTGCTAATTACTAGCAGTTGGTATATAATTCATGATCTTACCGACGCTGTCAACCATGACATTAATTAATTAAAAAGTTACAATTCGACTGGGCTTTATAATACTTTATTTAAACCAGAGTAGCGAGCGAAACATGGTTAATATACCTGGTTGCAGTGAACGAACAAACTTTAAAATTATGAAATAACATGGTTATTGATAAGTTATTTAAAGTAAATAATAAGTTATTTCAAAAATAGAACACAAGTTGTAAAATACAACCAGGTTAAATCAAAGGAAATGAAAATTAATTTAAAGTGGTGTTCCACAAGGGTCAATACTAGGACCTCTTTTGTAATTTTGTTTCTCATATATACAACAATTATATACAGAATTGTAGTAATATCATTTCTTTCATGTTACTTTCAGTAACCTGAAGAAATCAAATTGATTTGGTGTCAAAAAAACTAGTTAATCAAGGGATCAATTTACCATTTTAGCAGTTTCAATAATAAATATGAAAAATTTATGTTAATGCACACTGTATGTTGTATTTATTAAATAGGCGAAATAATAAATAAAACACTCAAACACACAAATGGTTCACAAATGGAGATTCATCCAACATCGGGTTCTGATATTTGGCCGATACAATTGTTTTAATTATTTATGCTAAAATTTATAAAACTGTGTCACTATAAGGTCGTTTCTAGGAACAGAAAACTCAAATATTGGGAATATTGCATTCAAGCATCGATCCCATACATTTAAACAATTTCAAATAGCAAACCTTCGATTCCTAACAAGAACGTAAATTGGCTGATATCTCTTGTAGTCAACCCATCTGCCAAGGACTTCAACAACACTCGATATGGCGAGGCAACTTCCACATCTGAACTCTGCTGACAAAATTCATCCGGTATTATTTGGACCAAATCAATGCGTTGGATTTGCTTCAAAAGATCTCGTAAACATGTCAAGTTGTTCTCGGAAATAATCCGCTTTTGTTGAAACAGTTTAAACAGCTCTAAAGCCTCGCTATTTGGTACTCTATCCAACGCTGCACCGTCGACTTTATCATGGCAAAGAAATTTTAGCGAACCTACATCACTCATCGTCAAACCATTGGCTATTTTCTTGAGAAATTTTTTGTATTGAGTCAATTGAGCCATATTCTTATAAGTTGGTTGTATGAATAAGCATAATTTCCGTGACCTTCTAATTTACTTTCACTGCAATCGAAGCAGCAAAACGCTAACGTTTTTACTACAATTGGTAAAAACGCTAACGTTTTTACCACATTATTGAGAAATCATTAAAAATCACGTCTTTCCTGCAGTAAATAATCTTCAGAATTATGCAAAATCTCTCTCCAGAAACACGGGAAATCGCCATTGAGGGACTCCAGATTTCAAAATTTGGAATTATATAAGTTTTGGAATTATATCAGCTTACACAATTAATTAATAACCCTACGCGTATTACCCAGTCTAGCCAATCATTATTGGATGTAGTAATTGCGTCAATGCCTGAAAAAATAATTTTTTCAGGTGTAGTCCATCTCGGAATTAGTG